GAAAGTAGGAGCATTTCCAAATGCGAAGGGAACTCAAGGGATTGGGACTGAACAGCTGTGTAGCCATAAGAAAACCACTAATCAGTGAGGCTAACCGGAGAAAAAAGGCTTTAATTTGCTAGGGAGCATAAAGATTGGACTGTGGAGCAATGGAAGAAGGTCATGTGGTCTGATGAGTCCAGATTTACCCTGTTCCAGAGTGATGGGCGAATCAGGGTAAGAAGAGAGGCAGGTGACCAGGTTTGACCAGGTTTTTCCAACAATGGACTTTTTCTCCCCTGATGGCACAGGCATATTCCAAGATAACAATGCCAGGATTCATCGGGCTCAAGACTGGTTCAGGGAGCATGACACATCATCTTCACACATGGATTGGCCACCATAGAGTCCAGACCTCAATCCCCTTGAGAATCTTTGGGATGTGCTAGAGAGGGCTTTGCGCAGCGGTCAGACTCTACCATCATCAATGCAAGATCTTGGTGAAAAATTAATGCAACAATGGATGGAAATAAATCTTTTGACATTGCAGAAGCTTATCGAAACAATGCCACAGCGAATGCGTGTTGTAATCAAAGCTAAAGGCGGTCCAACAAAGTATTAGAGTGAATGACCTTTTTTTTTTTTTTTGGTGGCAACTTTTTTTTTGGGCCAGGCAGTGTATATTAAACATGTTAGTCAATATTCATATGCTTAACGAATGTGACATCACAGAAAGGGTAAAAAATAAAACCATTCACATACAGAATTGTATTGCTTTATTACACACTCGTGTGTTCAGAATAACAAAAAGCTTTATAGCAAAGTAGCATATTACTGTTAAGGGGAATTTTCTTCCATAACAGGTGGCATGCAGTTGATATTGATAAATGTAGAAACAAAAAGTATGGGAGAATCAAATGTAAAAAGTACAAAAACAAGAGAAGAGGGTAAATAATCATTTGCAGCAAAAAAACAATGTGTATTATACAGACTAATGTATTATTTCAGTTTCATTTCTGTGCTAGTTAGATTTATTTACCTATTTGTGTGATTAAAAAACAGGATAAAGTGACAGGAAATCTAAAAAAATTCTACCTACTTCAAAAACTATACACATACCCAATAAAACCGACCTGCTATCTGATTGTAATTTTGATTCTTATGACTCAAAGATATGTAACAATATTGTATATATATATATATATACAGTACATATACAGTACATATACAGTAGATTGCCGAGTTGTTTCCATTTGCTTCAGTGTAAACTGTAAACTAATTTTGGTTGCATTCTCCATTGCAGCATTGTTATCCAGAACTGTTTCTCATCCAATCTCTGAATAAAGCATCCCATCTCTTGCCACAGTACTCTGAGAACCTGTAAATGGGGAGACTATTAGTTTAATATGATTGCTTTTTGTGAAAGTTTTTAATATTAATGTGAAGATTGGTTTCATGTAACAAAGTTAAATCAATAAAAGACAATGTTCAAATTCAGCAGATTTTTTAAATCTAAAGCAGGCTAACTTGAGACAAAAAAAAATGAATTTTCAGCTGTGTCTGATCTGGATTGTTGTTGCTGTATGCAGAAGTAATATGTATGATGTGGAATCAGCTGTGGAATCTCTACAACAACCCCTGTTTCAGCCAAGGCCTCCACAGGCAAGACACATGGCAAGTCACAGTGGTGTGACAGTCATTATTTGTATAACTATTTTTTAATGTATTTATTAATGTTTTCAAGGCTACACTTTAAAATATGAAATTGTCTAGAGCTGTTCTAAACAAAATTTATTTTTGTTTACTCTTGTGTATACAAAATGAGAAACTATGTTTTTTTAGGTGAACTATGGATGTAGCTCACAGTTTGCCTTGCTCTAGTTGTGGAGAGTTGTCTGTTTTGTAGAATAAATCATCCGCAAACGAGTTATTAATCCGAAAAAGGCTAATCTGTGAATATATTGCAAACTTTTTTGCAGTCTCACGATGCTGTCTGCATCTCTGCAGCGGAGGAGAGAGAGAGGAGAGATCGCTTGAGTTATACTTCCCCACAAATAAATAATGGTCATTATTGTATAAATATTGTTGCTTTCTACAGCGTTCCAGCTCATGCAGCTATTTTCATTGTACAGATCAGTTATCGGCTGATCGCTGCGCTGGTGGCTGCGCTGAAATCATTGCGGTGTTGGTGACACTGATGACGTACACCTAGTTATATTTAATTACAAATATGATTTTTCTCCCCTGCTTTCAGGTAAAACACTCTCAAAGAGAGAAACTTTAGCTGAAACCGAAACTGAAGGGGGTGGAATGGTTCTCCAGCCACATTGCATTGTGAATTGCACAAAATCCATCTCAAACTGTAATATGGTTTTCAACCATGCTTCCCTTCCTCTTTGTACATAATAGTTGAGTTTAGTTGAGTTTTATTAGTCTTGGTTGAGAGTGTTAAACTGGAATATGTTTGATGTGGAGCTGAATGATTTTTGTTAATAAACTCTTATATTTTGAACAGAAGTTGTGGTGAATTTATTCCATGTATGTGTACAGTTAACTGTTCGACCATGATTAATGCTCGAATCACTCTTTCATTTATTGTTCTAACACACAGCTAGTAGGGCTGTGTGTCATAAACAGTATATAACAGCCAAAACAATATCTGATTAAGTAAGATATTTTACCACCCCTACCGGGGAGGGCAATACACATCTTAAAGTATCAGAAATATAAATTCCCAGCTGGCTGGGAATAGAATTGAATATAAAATCAAAACAGCTATATCTAGTGTTTGTTTAAATGTGCTCCAAGTTATCTTGAAAACATTCTTCTATGAAATGTTGTTTTTTCTGCATTATTTTCTCTGGTTTGAAGGCAATCTAACTACGAACCCATCCGCGGTAAATCATGATTCGGAAAGATGAAATAGCAAATTTTTTTTTTCACTTGTGCCTGATGTATTACAACATCCAACTGTCATGCACGTGGGCATTGTCAGTTTAACTATACCTCTCACAAATTTAAATGATAAAGTCCTCTTGAAATCTTAAATAATTGTTGTTGATTGCAGATGTGTCTAGTAGTTCCCATTGATTTTGCTTGTAAAGCGTGGAGAATGGCGCTAGGCTTACCACACCATGACGTCACTGATGGAAGATGTCAGGAGTGAGGTGTTATTATATTTGGGCAAAAATGGCTGGTCCCGGACGCATTAATTCACCGCTAACATGTTAGTTTTAATAATTTGAATGGACATTATCGAATGTACTGGGATTTGGCCTACCTTGGACACTCCCCAGGATCCATTTAAATGGACTCTTAGACCCCCCCTTTTCCCCTCTTTCCAAATTATTCATGTAGTCAACTTCATGTGTATTTTGCTAGTAGTGTGTAGTGTTTGCCTAGATGTCAGCTTCCTTAAAATCCTGGATTGCTAAAAATAAAGACATACTATTATCTAACCTGTAGTAGTGTTTATTGTACAGCGAGTGGTTTATCACTCAGGGCCAGATTCACCATCCTTTTGGATAAATTTGAATACATAGAGACAAAATTTCTTTGGTTGGTAATCAATAGCTGATAGCCTAGCCTAAGTCACTATATTGGTGGGGATAACTGAGTTTTAATGGCTTTTCTAGAAGCCACCTGGAATGTGACAGGCCGATCCTGATAAGTAAGCTGATTACAGTTAGTTATTCAGCTGAGAACATTGAATTGGTTTTACCCTTGATTTTGAATGATTTATCGATTAACTACAACCCCAGTTCTAGTTAATCGTATATTCATAATCTACAGGTAAATTATCACAACAAAACTATTCATAGCCCCTCTTGACATTTATCCATTCATCTTTGTTCCAGGTTTGAACTGGGGTTCCTAAGTGTCCTAAGGAAAATATAAGTCCTGAAACACTATAACTATGCTGAGTTTTCCCTTCCTAAGCATTCATCAGCAAGATGACCCTCCATTAAACAAATACAGAAAATAACAATAATAACATATCAATAACATGATCCAATCAGAACTTATCCAATAGTAAACATCAGAATGCATCTATGTGCCAAATGATTTAAAGGGTTTTAAATAAACAATCAATTTAAGACGAAAATGGTCTCACCTTTTGAGCATCTGCAGCGCCACAATAATAGGAGAATAATGAGAAGAATTACTGGTCCAACAACTGACCGAATGATCAGCAGCACATGGAAGAAAGAGCTGACAGGAGTGGAAACATTTTCTGTATATATTAAATAAAAAAGGAAAGGGTTTTCATTGTATGACACTGCATGAAAAGTGAGATTTTCGTCCCCGTAAACCCCCGTAAACTCCCGCAGATCTGCCTGATTTTCGTCAGTTTCCGACAATTTGCAACCCGTGCTTGTCCGCGTTTGTCGTGCCACAAATTGTCGGAAACGGACAGTGACGTATGTGGAGAGCGATCAGCTGTACTAATGGCCCTAATTAGCATATGAATGCAGCAAACCCGCGCGGCTGGTCAGGTCTGGCTTGAATAACCTTCTCAGTATTGTCAGAACCCTCTATTCTCAAACAAATGAAATCGCTCGTGATTGGCAG